GGCCGCGCTCCGGGCGCCCGCTCGGCCAGGCAGCCCGCGCCGACCCCAGGTAAGGCAGCGCCGGGGGTCGGCCGGGGGAGCTGGGCTGCGCGGGGGTGTCACAGGTTCCCCGCGGGACGGCACTTCAACCCCACCCCCCCGGGCTGCGCCCCTCCGTGCGGGACAGCCCTGTGCTAGCCAGGAGCTTTGTCGTTGGAGCACAGCAGCCGTGCCCAGGTCCCAGCACCCCCGGGGTGCATGGCCGGCGGTCTCCCCCCGTGATTCACAGAAGTTTAGGGACCTTGGGTCCAGCCCCCCTGCTCCGGGCAGGGAAGACTGGCAAGGTTAAATAACCCCAGCAAGGCGTGCGTCCAGTCCGCTTTTGAAGATCTGCAGGGGGATCTGGCCCCCGCGCCTTGCTTTGGAGGGTGCGATGCCTGTTTCGGAGGCAGGGGAAGGTGAAGTGATGTGCTGGCGGAAGCACTGGCGGAGCTGGGGAGAGGACCCGTGTGTCCCGGTTCCTCCTGCCAGGCAGGGCTCCCTCTCCGGCGGGGTTTGAGGGAGAGAGTGAGTGTCCCCCCAGTGAAGGGAATCAGATAGGAAGAGGGGCCCCAAGTGTAAGAAAGCCCAGGTGCCCCATGGCACCGAGGGGACTGATTGGAACAGGCTGTGAGTGCCCCTTCCCCACCCCAAAAAAAGCCAGCCAGGTTCAGAGGCAGACAGAGGGGTGTCAGGTGGAAGGTAAACCAAAAAGAAATCTAGCCCTTTTTGTCCTTGCCAGTACACTGGGGCTGCTGCTCCTCAGGGGGCTGGTTGGAGTTGAGATGGAGCTTGGCTGGGGTGGAAAGGGGAGACTGCATAGCTTCTCTTCTGCTCCTGACAATCAATCCAACCAGCTTGAGAGTGGGGGTAGGAGAGCAGTGTTAGCAGCAAGTATATGGGGGGGGAATCCCTGGGGTGCAGCAGTTCTGGGGAGGAGGCAGCAGTAACTCTCTGGCAGGACCTGCTGGCAGATAATGCCTGGGAGCACAGGCAAAGGGAAGGCAGCAGGGTCAGCAGAGCAGTGCCGAGCAGGCATATAACACAGCAATGATGACTGGCCATAAATATACAGCTGGCAACTTGGAGCTTGCACAGCCCAACATGCCAGCAGGGACAATGGACTTCCAGCCTTGTTTCAGGACAGCAAGAGGCCTCCCCAAACAAAGCAAATAAGCTGGGAGCATAGGGGTACTAGCAAAGCTGTGTGGAGACCCCAAGGCTATAGAGGAGCAGGAGGACTGCAGGGCAGGATGTGGGGGGGCACTGGCAGAGCTTTGCAGAGGGAAAGCTATCAGAGTCCCCCATTCCCACTATGTGCTACTTATCCTCTCATGCCAAGCCTTGGAACTGGCTATTGTCAGGACAGCTTTTGGTTTGTGCCTTGCCTGTAATGGACAGGGAACTGTTTATTGATGGGCATGTGTGGAACATGTACACACACCCTGCTGGAGTGTTTCTCACTGAATAGATGCTGTGGATCCCCAGCATGGGGCCAGGAGCACGGCAAGCTCAATTCCATCCTGGCCTCCTGGGAGCCACTTCAGTATCACTCTCGGTGCACTTAAGTCTGCACTGAATAAAGGCTCCACGGGAGCATTGATGTGTGTGGTGGAGGCGCAGAGCTGCTAACACTCGATCCTGAGTGCTTTAGAAACCAGTCTATGTTGAATTAAAGCACAGCGGGTGCACTCACAACAGCAATAGAGCCAAGCCAGATGAATTAATATACCATTTACATGACTCCTGCCCCAGAGCCCAAGCCAAGGTGCTTAGGCAGAGCCTGCGTGAGAGGCAGCCGGCTCTGGAGGGAAGGGCCACTGCCAGACAGGCAACACGTTTCATAGCAATGGGGCAAGAGGGAAAGAATTTGGGTCTGGGACATGGGGGCAGTTATGAAAAGGGCCGGTGGATCTTAAGAAGGGAAACAGAGCATACAGGCCTCTCTGGCAGGCAGAGCTATACAGGACTTGAGAGCAGCTCCATCTTTATGAAAGACCTAGAGAAAGCCACAGCTGGAGGGTTCCCTACCAGTCTCCGTGTACAGGGCTCCAGGATTATTTAACAGCCATTGCCTTGCCAGGCAGGGGGCAGGTTTAAGCACTGCCCCAGAATAGACCCCATTTAAATCTGTGTTCTGCGTGTGTGCTTAGTATGCAAATCTGCTCTCATTCGCATATACATTAACTCCTTCTTGGAGTTGCACTCGGACCTGTGGCAGCTTTGAAAAGACATTGTCTTCATTTCAGTAGACGTGTTGGATGTTTCTGCCGGCAAAGCCTCACCCAGCCTGTGGCCTGGTGTGGAGAGTAGAAAGGGTTAATCCCATCTGTGCCTGTGTGGTGCAGTCCCCTGTTTACCCCAGCATCCACACTCCAGCAGAAGCCCTGCTTTGTCAGGCAGACATGCTCCTGCAGTGTTGATCAGCTTCCTGCTGTACCCCTGTTTCATCCTGCGCATCACCATCCACTGCAGCCCTCCTTCCAGTAATACCCAGCTCGCTCATTTTGTCACTCTTGCTTTAAGCCACCTGCTCTTCTCTGACCAGCACCCCACTCTGCCCCTGTAGTGGGTGTCCACAGCATGACTGCTCCAAAGCTGCCTGCAACCCTCACCCAGCATCCCCAGGGTCCCTGTTTACAACCCCACTTTGCCCCGTCATGATTATCTACCCACATTATTCCTGCTTCCATAGTTCAGGACCCTGCCTTCCCCCAAAGCAGGGAGGTGCATTGGCAGAGCTGTGTGGGAGTCCAGAGAGGGAACAGTGCTGGGGAGGGTTGCAGGGTAGGAGTGAGGGGCATGGGAAGAGCTGTATTTCTGAGTCTGGATGCCCTGTTCTGTGAGAGGAGGTGTCTAGAGGGCAGTAAGAGAACATCCTGCCTGCATCCTGATAGTCACTAATGCTTGTGAGAAGCATGTTAGCATTCACAGATACCCACCTGCCCTTGCATGGGCCTTCCAAAATTGCTTTGAGTAGGCTCTGGTATTAGTTTTGAAAGCATGCACAGAGACAGTCTCACAAGTCCCTGTCCCCAGTTGTGTCCTTCAGTCATGATGTTAAAAGGATCCCAAGAAGATCGAGACGGGCCAGGCCCTAAGTCAAGCTTCTGACACCCCTTGAATCTCAAACCATGAACTGAGCTGGCTCCTCTGTCCAACACTCTGCCCACCTCTCCAGCTTCCCATCCACAGATCTCAAAGTACTTGACATATCATAAAGAATTAACCCCTGCAGCTTTCCTTCCCATATACCCTACCAGAGGTCAGTGCAACTATTTCCATTTTACTCGCAGAGACTGCAGCACAGTGTGACAGAAGTGGGGCTTCACCCTAGGTCTTCTGACTCCAGCCCAGGTCTGCATCTGTGTTAAGTACTTCCAAGACTGAGAAATAACAAAAGACTGAGCTTGTTGCAAGCAGTTAGAAGTTGGTGTGGCCCTCTGAGTCAAAGAGAGAATAGCAAGTACAATGCTCAGGGGAGCCCTAGTCCTGAAGGAAAGGAGCTGTCCTTTTGGCCTCTTGCACACAGCAATGTAAACCCTGCTTTTATGTGAGAGAAAAGCTAGACAGACCTCAGTATTCATGAGTTAGATTGAGTCCAGTGTAGATAACTAGTCTAAACTGCAGCTGAATCGTTTGTATTGATTTAAATCTCTTATCCTTCCACATTTAAATCAAGTGAAACCTATGCATTTTAATGGATAAAGGTCTTTGGAACCAGTGTCTTGTCTGTTCTTCAGGGACTTAAGTGCTCCCACAGTCCTATCTTAGAATCACAGAAAAATAAGGCTCAACATTTTCTGTCTTTCTGTAGCCAAACATTTCCTATGAAGGTGGTTAAGCCCTGGAACAGATTACTTAGGTGGGTTGTGGAATCCCCATTGCTAGAAGTTTGTCAGTGTAGGTTGGCCAAACACTTGGCTGGGATAGTTTAGTCCTGCCTTGAGCACAGGGCTGAACTAGATGACCTCCTGAGGTGCCTTCCAACCCTGTTTTTCTCCCATTAAGGAACAGTGGAGACTGAACAAGCTGTTTGGCTACCTTCCTCTGCCCCAGAACAGCTATCTCCTAGCAGTGCTCTTTGTAAAGTTCTTTAGGATCCCTCAGGAAAAAATAAAACTACAGTAAGTCTGCACAAAGTGCTCAGATGTCCTGGGTATGAGGCTGAGATGCAGAATTTGGCTCCTGAGCCACAGTTTCTGGTCCTTGATTTTTTTCCTTGGGGTCTATCTCTCACAAGAGCAGCCTGGCTCAGCGAACTGTGGCATCAACTTATGCCCAGGGTATCAAACTCATTGGCCCTGGAGGCAGTGAGCATGCTGGATCCAGTGCACAGGGCTGGGCCACTGCAGGTGCCACATACAGCATGCACCCCGGACTGGCTCCACATGCAGCATGCATCATGCACACATAGGCCCTACCTCTATATGCAGTGTGTGGGGCTGGTGCACAATGCATGCAGCGTGCAGGTCCAGTCCAAGATCCACAGGTAGCACTGTGGGCTGGATCTTTGACCAGATCATGTATATGAAGGGAGATTCACGAGTCTGGGGCTGTTTGGTTCAGAAGGGAGAAAACGAGAGCCGCCTGATAGCACACACAAAACAGTCAATGGTATAGAGTAGGCAGAAGGGGTACTTTCCTTCATGCTTTCTTATGGGTAACAAAGCCAGGGGACATTTAGTGAAACTGAACATCAGGAATTGTACTAAAATAAGGGAGTGCTCTTTTGTGCACTGCCTCAAAACCAGTGGAACTACTGCTGCAAGATGCTGTTGAGAACAGGAGGTTGGTCCCATTCAGAAAAGGAGGGGATTTTTTGTGGATAAAAAAGCAGTCCTAGTTGTGTTGGAAAGAACAATCAGCTTAGAGTAAATGCAAAGCCTCATGCTTTCAGGACCTAAGCCAACCCCTGAGGGCCAGGTCTAAAAAAAGACTTTGGCACCTAAAGTACAACTCAGATGGTTGTCAGGACCCAAGCCCAAGTGAGCAGTCTGCAGGACTTTACAAAGAGTGCTGTTAAAAGATGGCCGATGTGGGGTGGAGGAAGGTAGTCAAACAGCTTGCTAAGGAACAGCAGAGAGAGAATCAGAGCCTCTTAGATGATCAAGTGCTAAGTTTTTGCCAGTAATGTTCTCTGTATACCCTTAATTCTGCATCTGCTTATGACCTACCCCACTAGCCAGGGCTGAGCACCTGTTTCTCACCTCAGCCTATTCGAAGTTCACATGCTGGTTGTCCCTATGCTTAAGTGTGGAAGGATTTGTTCCAGTAGTTGTGCTCAGAGTGTGCCTGATCCACCCACAGCACTGAGTCTAGCACCAAAACCAGCAGCTGAAATCACTTTTGCTCAAAAAAGTGGTTGAGGGATGCTGAGGAGCCCAGCTTTTGTAGAATAGTCTCCTAGTTGAAACATACCCAGGAAGTGGGAGACCTGGTCTGTATGCTCCTCTGTCTGAGGAAGTTCAAATCCATGGCTCCCACTTGACAGAAAAGTACCTCACCCTCAAGCTATTGACCATTCATGGAGGTAGGCATCCTCTTCCCTTTTCTGGTGAAGCAGAGAGAGAGAGCAGCAGCAAGTAGCATGACTGAAGATCAGCCAAGGGCCCATTTCCTAGGGAGGATGAATCCATGTTCCCCAACAGCTCACTTATTTTGCATTAGAGTGTCATTGGATAATATACACACACAGTGTTGGGAGTAGGGACCAGCAAATGCTTGCCTATGGATGAGGCTGTTACATGTAAGGTTGGGAGCAGCAGCAACACCTCCCCTATTGGGTTTTCAAAGGAAAGAGAAAGCCTGTAGTTAGACCCAAAGGAACAACTTGCACCCCAAAGTATGTGGTGGGAGGGAGGGGAGGGAGGGTTGACTTGTGAAACCCAGTCTCACACATGTGCCACTCTCAGGTCTTCAGCTAGGCGGAAAAGTCCAGGAGAGAGGAGAGATGTCTGATGCACCCAGCTTCCCCATGTTCCCTGCTGGTTAGTTCCTATATACTTAACAGTGACCTGTTGGGAATCCCACTTCTTTATGCCTAACTCTTTTCTTGCCTGTAGAGGGGACTTAAGGGCCTAATGCTTCTGGACCCAGACACCTAAATGTGAAGAGTGGTGACATTGGTATTGACCCCCCACACACACACACACACACTAGGCCTGAGTACTGGATCTGGGCTTGGACTGCCCAATGTTCCCCAGTTGTCCTTCACAGGGCTTGCTGCACCTTCCTCTGAAGAATCGAGTTCTGGTCAGAGTAGGTGACAGGATACTGGAGTGCACTGATTTCAATGGGTGGTCAGATCTGATCATTCTGGTTTGCTACTGCTTAAAAACTCAAAGACGTGTCCAGGGCATTTGCTGATGATTTTATATGTTAAAGGAAATTCATTTTGGCTTCTGTCTTCATCTCTGGAGAAGGTTCAGGGTTTGTTTTGGGTTGGCTGAAGCTGGCCAGGTGGTAATCCAGCTGGCAGCACCTCCCTCCCGGTCACTGGTATTTAATAGACTACCAGCAGCCTGGAAGAATCTTGTGGCTCTGGTTTCTGAGTGATGGCATGATATATAAACAAATCATACTGTCCTGTTGTTTTGACGTTATCCCCTGTCAGTTAGGTCACAGCAGCTATAATAATTACTCCTTAACTCTAACTGAGCAAAGGAGTAAAAAATGGTCCAAAGGGGGGAAGCAGAAATAATATTCAGACAATTGAAATTTATTTTTTAAAATGATGTCATTTTATGCTGAAAGTTCCTGGTAGATATGGAGAGAGCATGGTTAATGTGTGTGATGGCATGCGGTTAGGGGGCATGTTGGCAAGTATGTTTTGCAAGGTAAGCTGGGTTAGTCCTGGACCTATGGGGGACCTCAAAAGTGTCAGACAACCTCCAGAACATCTGAGCCAGCTCCCAGGTGGTGGTAGGGGTCAGCATGCTGTGGATGTGCTACCCTGCAGAACAGACGTATAATTTGTGACTGCAAATCCTTGTGTCTGTGGCTAGTCCCATGGCCCTCTGTGAAGCTGTCAGCCCAGAGCCCTCAGGTTTTACCCTAGCTTCTGCTCACTTGCTAATCCTTCGATAAATCACTCCACCTAAATTGGATAGCATATTTCCCCCATCTGTAAAATAAATGTGGATAATGACACCAACTAACCCACCTACCTCATGCAGGTTTTAATGCAAGGTTTAAGAGATGGCTCTTAAAGCATCTTAAGATTTTTAGGTGGGAAGGGGTGACTTAAGAAGATAAGTTCTAATTTTTTAGCTGCTAGATCTCATTAATTTTCTTTTTAATTGCTTGATTTTTTTTTCCTGTAGCCAGTAGTAAGTGAGAGTGCCTGGCACTGTGGGCTGGGTGCTTCAAAGCTCTCTGGATGTATCTGTGTAACTGTGGCCACTAGAGCAGCCATGGTCAGAGCGGTCCTACCCAAGGCATGGGTCACCTAGCGACTGCACTGTGCTGTTACAGGAGAAAGGAGGGAACCAGCATCACTGTGAGGTCTCCCTTGCTGTGACCAGTTAGGTCCCAGATTCCTGCCCTTTCTCATGGTAGCTCATTCAGACAGTGCCTCATGGTTATTATCCTGGTTTTCTCTCCCCTGTCACATTGTGCTCCAACTTGCTGCCCTTCAACTCGGTGGGTTTGATTGTTTCCCCCAAATGCACACAAAGGTGAAAAGGAGCAAGGCACCGACAGCTTTCCTGGATCTGCCAGCTTCTCTCCCCACCTCCGGGATGAATGAGGCCCTTCATGCGCTCCTCAGGGAGCAAACACAGATGCTTTTGTTCAGCAGGCAGGCTGGGGTGGAAGGGAGGAATTGAAGCGCTGAGGTTGCGTTGCCGCATTCCTGCAGCGTGGAGGCATGACCGCGCATGAGACAGATGGGCAAGTTCCTTTTTAGAGGGAGCACAGATGCCCTCACCTGCATCTCTCTCACTCACCTCCTCTCTCGTTCCTCTGCTTCCTTTCCCATATGATCTCTTGCTCCTTCTCCCTTCATTCATCCTTCCCTTTTTTTTTTCTCTCACCCCCACTCACCTGAGCTCTGTCTCTCTCTCCTTCCATCACACTCCCACTCAGACTTCCTTCTCTTTTTCCTGTCTCTCTTGCCCACTGTCCCCTCAGACATCCCATCCCTCTATATCTTCCTGATCTATCTCATCCCTCCTTCCCCCAGCACTCCAGGGACACACACAAGCTCCAAGCAGATTGGTGCTGTCCAGCAGCCCTGCAGAGGTGGGAGCCAGGAAGACCTGAGCTCTAGTCTTAGTTCTGATAGTGCTGGTTTCTCACTCTCTGCTTTTTAAGGCTCAGTTTCCTCCTCCCTGAAATGCCAATTGAGGCACCAT